GGGGGGGGGGGGGGGAGGGGGGAGGGACACCTGCGATCGGCCACCAAGGGTAGGAAATTTCCCATATTATCAACTAAGGGGGTGGGGAGCTGCGTCTAGGCCAAATATAGCCCTCCTCCCGGGGCAAATACGGAACCATTGTCCCAAACGCTCATGAGGTCGGAGTGGACCTGTGAACATTCTGACCAGCCGTCAGATAGAATGGGAACCGTAACCCAGCTCAGGGAAGATCTGACACCTGGAATAACACTCGAAATCACAAAAATTAGCAATGAGTCAGGGAGCACGGGAACCCTCCCGGTGAACCCCTGCTGGCTTCGCAGCTGTTCAGGCATGGCTACCTTATCTGGGGATAGTTGAAAATCAAGCAATCTTACAGGTCCGTCATTCTCGAACAGAGCCTCGACCCAGTAAGTGTCGTCGCTTCCGCATGGATTCCGATGATCCTCTTTCACCACCAGTTCCAACACTTTCTCTTCTTTTGATCGAGAGAAAATCTGAAAATGGGTCAATTTAATGGTTCCGAAACTTGTAGGGCTTTGGGTGCAAATCGGCTAAGGGGTGGTGGCAAAGGACTCGAAGGACTTTTCATGAATTGTGCGGAACTGGCATCGTCAAAGTGGACGTGGTGTTTTCAACAAGGAACTGAGTGAAGCAAGTTCTTTCGGCAATGAAGGGCTCCGCTGGCAACCACAGTTCTGCACAAGTAGTCCTTCGAATGCCCCCCCCCTACTGGCCGAGTTATTCTGGGTTTTATTCAGACGGATTTCTAGTTACCTTTATCGTGTGTTTTCCAACATCTCGTTCACCTGGTATTCCTTCCAATATCCCATCTCTCAGCAATAGCCATGACGGCAGTTTCCCACCATCCCCGCTAAAAACTCGGTCCTGAAAAATGGACAATTTTCCAAGGTAAACAGAATCCAAAAATTGATTCAAAATTTGGCGAAAGACCTCAAAACAAGCCCTGGACACTTGCTGATAGTGTTATTTATGTATTGTCGCTAAGTCAATAAACATGCTAAGGCGCCCACATACCTTTTGCGATAGCGGCTTTTGATAGACCTGTCCCACATAGATCACCTCTTGACTCACCGCCGACACGATACCGAGCACCGGCAGTAGTAAGAAGAACACCCACATGACTGAAATGGGAGGGAAATCTATTGGGCATCTGTCAGTCGAGGAGGTAAAAGAGCGAGTAAAACTGGCGAGTAACCAAGGTAAACTGACAAAACGGCAAAACGGAATCGACAGAATAAAGGCTCAAGCGGCTATCATCAAACATCAGAATCAAACGATCCCTTCAAGCTTCAAAACACTGAACATCTGCCTTGCCTTTTTATGACCCCTTTAACGGCAACAGCGTATGCCCGTGCCTTTCGGGGTTGTGACACTTGTCAGATGGCCGCCACAAGGCTCAGAATATGGCCACAAGAGACACAATCTCCCCGATTGACGTTGGTGAATGTGTGCAATAGAAATGTGGCTGTGAATGCGAAGCTGGCAACAGATTGCCCAGGAATTGGCGACAGATTGCCCATATGAGGTGCGATGTGTGTGGGTGGAGGAAGGCGTGCGCTTAGTCGGCACCGTTGACCCGCCGCCTTATGGACGATGCCGAAAAGAACATGACTGAGGATGGAACAGGTGGCGTTTGAGCAGCGGCAACGGAGGGAAGTCAGAAATGACCGCGCTGCGCCCGGCACCACTATGGCCTTCTGAACTGCCATTTCAAGCAGATACGCATGATTGAGTTACGAGCCTGAAGGATCGATCAGGAGGGCGATCGGAACTAAGGGAAGAGGGAGAAGGTGAATGGGAGAGGGAGGCGGGGGGAGGGCAGGTGGCTACGAGGGAGAATCGGTCTTGCAAGGGTTTTCTACGGGTAAGGGTCCAGAGGGGGTAAAGAAGGTTCAGGGTTTTCAAGAGCTCATCTTCGTCTTCAATGCATATGAATAGCTAGATGTTGTACAGTGGGGAGGGGGGGGGGGGGTAACGCTCAGAGACCGGCCCTTCGAAACAGGACCGCCCTTAACGCACACAGCCTCCCAAAGAAAGAGTTGAGCCCAGGTGCAAAAGCCACAGTTCCAACCACTGAAAGCGGA